GTCCCGAAGGTAGACGTATTCACTCAGTTTTGAATCTAATACTGAACTTAATATTGCCACCAAAATTCTGAAACTCTTCATCTCTCTTAATTTAAAAATCTAAATTTTCGTTTATACTCCTATATATTTTCAAAATTACCTGTAAAGACGTTAATAGCCTGAGTCGCTGAATGTCTCTAAATTATAATAACTAACTAACTGAACTTTACATTTGAAAACGGTTTTTTTCACTGGAGACTGCTATGGCAAGATTGGTGACAAGCGGTGCAGGTGAAAAACGTCAATGGTTGGCAACGACCTCTTCACACCCGCTCCAACCTTCTCCCGCTTAGAGTCGCCGCAATTTTTTTGGATCCTAAGACAGGGTGGCCAAAAGTTCAGCATATTAAAATTCCCCTACTTTTCCTTGACTTTCCCTGATTTTACGATACCAGAAAAATTTCCTTGCGCACTTGCTCAAGAGGTGCGACAGAAGAAAAACCAAAATTCGGAAATTAGAACAGGGTTGTCACAGAATTTAGAAAATGAAATTCCCTTACAATGCCCAGATTTCCCTGACATTATTTTGTGTTCGTTTCTGATAATATTTTATGCCTGTCATCCAAAAGTAAAAAAAGAAGGTACAATTAACGAGGCTAAGGGGGGGGGGTGTCTAGACCAGAGACAAGAGACCCTCCACTGGCCTCTTGGCCAGGTGGAAGCTTTTACTTTCGCGGATTCAACAATTCCTTAGGTATGGACAATTATAAGGAAGCAACTGTCATCTTCCTAATTTCGGCTGTTGACCTACCTACATGGTGGCTAATGAGCTTTGGGTGACGTCATGAGCCAAACAAGTTTCCCAAACTTCGGCCATTTCCGGCTTGTTTGCGAAACAAAACTGCCAACACGTTGAACATCAACCATGTACGTACGTCAACTGTAAAATGCTAAAGTCCCTGAAGTCCCGAAAGTAAGAGCTTCCACCATGGCCAAGATAATAGCAGAGGTGGTCTAGACACCCTGGACTGCCCCCCCCTTGTCTACGCCACTGACCCTGATAAGAGCTCCGTATAACCCAGTGTCCACACTCTCCGTATGAGGATACTCTAAATGTTTTCACTTCCAGGAAAAAAACATTCGACGCGGCCGTGGGAGCTGCGGTTGCGAGGCGGCTGATCGGAAAAAAAACTGCCATACGACATCCGGCAATGCAATAAACGGAAGTACCGTCTGTACTTCCTCCAAGGCGATGCCACCAACCACATTTGGGGTCAAAAATGGGCCGTGGGCGATATCTCAAAAGACTGTCCGATGCGACGCTCTCTCCACCATCTCACAGTCGCGGATGTCGAGAACCCCAATTTCGAACTGGTGGCCGACACGTTTAAACGTAAGTTGGACGATTTTAAACCGTACGCCAAATACGACGAGTACTACGGCCCTGAGAGTACTTTGCAGAACCCGAGTAAGATTGTCCGTAAGAAAAGTAGTAAGAGTCGGTCAGGTAGTTTCAGGTGGTTACGTGTTTTAACGCAGAGTGGTAGTTCTGTTGGAAAGAGTGGTAGTTCTGCTGGAAAGAATGGTCGTTCTGTTGGAAATAGTGGTAGTTTCGCCACTTCTAGGGCCACCTCGATGGATTACTTTACTGACAATGGCGATTAGGCGATGTCGCCGAGCGGCAAGAATCGCTTTCTTTGGCCAAACCTGTTCAGTAATTATAATAGTTTTAGCGATAGGTGTCCAATCTTACTTTATAATATGAAGTCATAAAATTAACGAGCGAAACGCTGGAGAACCTAACGCTGTGTTGAGTGATAGTTTCATCAGGAGGAGTGAGAGTTCCGGCAGCAAGAGTGGTAGTTCTAGGTGGTGGAATTTAAATTCTTTAAACAAAGTGGTGGTTCTGTTGGAAAGAGTGGTAGTTTCGCCACTTCAAGGGCCAGCTCGATGAATTACTTTACTGACAATGGCGATTAGGCGATTAGGCGATGTCGCCGAGCGGCTTTCTTTGGCCAAACCTGTTCAGTAATGATAATAGTTTTAGCGATAGGTGTCTAATCTTACTTTATAAAATATGAAATAATAGACTTAACAAGCGTAACGCTGGAGAACCTCTACCTCTTCCATTACGTCACTCCTCCTTGCGATTTCTGCGCCTATTCTCGATCCACTAGCTCTTCTCATGAAGAGCTCTTTCTCCACCCCCTATTCTGCCGTGCTAAGGAAAAACGCCGTATGAACATTCAAGAGTTGCCAAATTTTCTTCAATAAAATGTTCATTTTTGAAGAAAGCTGTGGATATCTTTCCTTGAAAATTTCAGGAACATTAGGTGAAATTGCGAACAAAATTTTCTGAGGAAAATAAATTACAAATTTTCCCGAAAATTCGTGATTTGCTGAAGGAAACTCGGCAACGCCTGATGGCTCTTACGGCGTTTATCCTTAGCACGGCAGTATTGCCCTTCCGGTTTTTCGCCTTTTGCTCTGCCGATTATTTGAAGTTTTCCGACCAGCGACGTTCTTTCGTAGTTTATGTGGCTTAGCTGGGTTTTCCCCCTGTTTTTTCTTATTTCTATATACCTTTTTTCTCTTGATTATGTGATTACAGTGATTCGTGAAGTGCTCTTTATAAATCGTTTGTTCTCTGATGGTAAAGTATAATTATTATTGATTCCTTCTTAACCCGGAGCATATTGTTCTTCGTGAGTCATTCTTTATAAAAATGTTTTTTTTCCTTGATTGTAAAGTATCTTATTATATTTGACTTCCTCAATAATTCTGAGCATTCATTATTAAATTGTTTTCATATTCCATATCCTTTCAAAGTTTATAAAATTTCGAAAAAAAAGCGTCACGTAACTTAAAAACGTCCGCCATTTTTAAGCCCTAGAAGACTATACTCAGCCAAAGATGGCCGAGCTATTCTGTCATGCTAAGGAAGAACGCCGTACGAGCCTTTAGGCGTTGCCGAATTTCCTTTGATAAAGCACGAATTTCTTGATAAGCTTATGCATATTTTTCTCCCAATTTCATAGTGAATTTTGTTCGCAATTTCGCCTATATTCCCTGAAAATTTTATGGAAAAATATCATGAACTTTTCTAAAAAATAAACATTCTATCGAAGGAGACTTGGCAACTCTCGAATGTTCATACGGCGTTTTTCCTTAGCACGGCAGTATTAGACGTGGTAACCGCGATGACCAAACTCCCTGTAAAGGTACTCTGCCCCATTCCCTTGAAAAGTTGCAATGGAGACGTTGCATGTGTGAGGAAATTGCGATTTGACTGTTGATTCATAGGTTAAAGTTCCTGAGAAACACGATGGTGCCTCTGGTTTTCTCTGAAATCAACTCCCAAGCTCAAAAAAAGCTCTCAAGTTGAGGCCAAAATGGAGGGGATATCCCACGCTATCCTGAGAGTCCACCTCTACATCAAGACAAACTCTCCATGCAAAGATAGGGAGCGAATACATTAGCAGGGTTGCCGTGATTTCAGTTTAAGAGTCCCCAAATAAAGTGGCAGCACTGTCTATGTATTTGCTCCCTTTCTTTGCATGGAGAGTTTGTCTTGATGTAAAGGTGGACTCTCAGGCAGGATAGCGTGGGATATCCCCTCCATTTGGGCCTCAACTTGAGAGATTTTTTTGAGCTTGGGAATTGATTTCAGAGAGAACCAGTGGCACCATCGTGTTTCTCGCGAACTTTTCCGAGAGAATCAATTGTCAAATCGCAAATCCCTCACACATGCAACATCTCCATTAAGAAAATCACACTCTAAGGCCAAGCACTCTCAAGGCCTGATATGTTTTCCTCAATCATTAGTGCAAGGTACGAACGGCGCACCGATCAAAAAGCTTACGAGGAATTATCAATTTTTTGTAAGCATCCCATCATGAAAGAGAATCAAATCTAATGACGTCGGGCTGAGAGCTGTTGACGCGGCTGCATTGACCCTGGAGGTTTCCGATGACGACGGATGAAAAGTACTGGAAAAAAAAAACCACATTGGATCTAGAGTCCAGACTCTTAAAAACATCGACAAGAAAAAGTACTCTTGATTCAATCAGATTTGAGCTTAAATCAAGAACCAAGCCTCTTACTTTAAAAGATTTCGTTTTGACTCAAGCAAAAATCCGATTGAATCAAGAGTATTTTTTCTTGTCAATGTTTTCAAGAGTCTGGACTCCAGATCCAATGTGTTTTTTTTCCTGCGAGATGGAGTGAACTAGTACAAAAAATGAGGATAACGCCGGACGACGAAATAGTACGACGGCATTGGCATACGATGACACGATGGCATTGATGACAATTCTGCGATGTGCAAAAAAAGTTGCTACTGCAGGTTTCATTTGAGTGAAATAGTTGCAAAGATATGACCGTTGCCTACGAGAATAAAGAGACCGTAACTACGATTCTGTGACGTCACCCTAGTAGACGAAACTCGGCCGCGATGCACTGATGGTAAAAAAAAACACATTGGATCTAGAGTCCAGACTCTTGAAAACATTGACAAGAAAAAGGACTCTTGATTCAATCAGATTTAAGCTAATGAAAATCCGCTCAAATTAAGAGGCTAGGTTTTTTATTTAAGCTTAAATCTGATTGAATCAATAGTATTCTTTCTTGTCGACGTTTTTAAGAGTCCGGACTCTAGATCCAATGTGTTTTTTTCCAGTGTGTAACGTGGGTTCTTATGGGAGAACGCATGACACATGTTCCTTTTGTGCTAATATCTTTTCAGGGGTTGACCTGAGGCCAAAATACATAGGAAACTTTTTGAAAGAAGATAAAATTGCACATAAAAAACTGCCTAGTTTATAAAGTACATTGTCTGATAATTGAGGAAATAAAAGCTAAACACGACTAAATACCGAAAATCGTTACTCCATTAAGATTCAAACGTGCCACTCATGCAACTACACACGTGGAGACACCCTGATAAACATTTATATTGTAAATTTTTGCGAATTATCTTTGATGTCATGATTGTGATAGAGAGTTTTGAAAATTCGACTTACGATGAAATCGATGTTGTCGTAACCGTACTCCATGAACTGGGATTCGTACTGCGGGAAACCTATCGACTCCAGCCATTGACTAACTGATGATGTCGCCACCGGACTCTCAGCCATCACGCTTTCCGATTTTCTTAAACCTGCAACGAAAGGTAGCTCGATAAGGAAAAGTCAAAAAGACAGATGAATACTTAGACCATGAAAATTTAATTTGAAAAGGCATCGAATAAATGAGCTTGTTCAGTAATTTTTCATTCTTACATTTATGGAAAGTAGGGATGACCCATTGACCCATAGTTCGCAGACATTTCCCCCGATTGTTTTTGGATAATATTAACCCACAAAAAACAAGTTTTAAGTCGCGTATTTTGAATTCCTCTGTCGCGGTCGTCTGATAGCCAACAGTGTGTCTTATCAACGACTGAATATGTTCAAATGGACGTATTTCTATAGCCAACAGAATTATGTACGGGTGTAATATATGGGTTGTGGTCGATAGTTCTCAGGCCGTAAGAGTGTATGGGAATTATAAAGCGCAATTGACGTCATCAGCGACAAAGCCGACGACGGTTCTCCTCGGGCGTCTTTAACTCATGAGCCTTGTCCACAACGCTCTCGTCCCATGTCCACGGCTCATGAATCCCGCATACAGTTATGGCACATAGTTCCGTTTGGCGAATTTAAAACTCCGCTTTTCCAATTCTTCAAAAGAACTCAATCACACTTTTACATTGTATCTTATCCAACTCACTACGAGCACATCCCTTTCTTCTCACCCGCACATTGTTCTGTTTCGTAGAAAAACCACCAAATAGTAGTTCCTTATTCAGGGTGTCTGGCAATTTTTTTAAAAAAAAAATTCCCTGATTTCCCTGACAAAAACGGTCACAAAACTGGGTAAAAATTCAAATTCCCTGACATTTCCCTGACAAATAGGAAAATATATTCCTAATTTTTCGACACGATTGAACTGATTATATGTAAGTGAGAATGTTTTTCATGTTTGGGAATACATATAATGTCATAAATAGAGCAAAATATATTATGGTGTCTAGACTTGGGCGAGATATTTCTGCATCATTTTTAAAACCTAGAAAACATCGGCCGAAATTCAGGTAAAAATTTTGATAGCAATCTCCGCGAGAGTAAAAGTCGCGAAACAATTTCCGGAAAAATTCGTGTTTTTTTATTTCCTTGACGTTTTCCCGACAAGAGTATGGCTTGCGAAAGACAATGGAGAGGTTGCATGTGTGAGGAATTTGCGATTTGACTGTTGATCCTGATATAAAAGTTCGCGAGAAACACGATGGTGCTACTGGTTTTTTCTGACATCAACTCCAAAGCTCAAAAAAAGCTCTCAAGTTGAGGCCAAATGGCCAAAGTTGGCCCAAGGGGATATCACACCCTACCCCGAGAGCCCACGTCTACATCAACACAAACTCTCCATGCAAAGATAGGGAGCAAATACATTAGCAGGGTTGCCGTACTTTCAGTTTTGGAGTCCCCAAATAAAGTGGCAGCCCTGTCAATGTATTTGCTCCCTATCTTTGCATGGAGAGTTTGTCTTGATGTAGACGTGGACTCTCAGGGTAGGGTGGGATATCCCCTCCATTTTGGCCTCAACTTAAAAGCATTTTTTGAGCTTGGGAGTTGATTTCAGAGAAAACCAGTGGCACCATCGTGTTTCTCACGAACTTTTACATAAGAATCAATAGTCAAATTGCAAATTCCTTACACATGCAACATCTCCACTGCCTGGCACTGATTGTAGGGACGGAGGGGGGACGGGACTAAAGCGAAAGGATTAGCCCTTGTGGGTTGTTTGAGGTAGTAAAAAAAAGGGGGAAAAAGTGACAGATCTTACCTAGCCTGGCCTTGAACTCCTTCTCGAGCTCGTCGACGAAGACGGACTCGCGGACGATACCGGTGCCGAAGGAGGCCATGATCTCGGAGATCTTGGCCCACTCCTCCTGCTCGTCGAACGGGCTCAGGATGGACAGCGTCTTGTCCGCGTTGCTCGTCCCCGTCGTGCTCGAATTGGAGTTGGAGTCCGCCGCCGTAGTGTGCTTCTCCTCCTTCTTCGGGGCCTCGCCCATCCCCAGGGAGGGGTCGTAGACGTTGCGCAGCTTCCGCAGGGTCTTCGGCCGCTCCGCCTTGCTCCCGCCCACCGAGCCCTTGAACAGGCCTGGAAACAGGGAACCAAGGATCGTGTCACGGAGAGATGCCATGGGGAGGTCTCATTGCAAATGAAGAGTTACTAGTACACTGAAAAAAAACTCCGGCCGGCCGTGGAAGGCGTGCTTACGGGCAATAAAGATATACCGTCCGAGTTCCAGCGGGCTGATTATTGAAACTGATGGACAAAGCGATAGACAAAGAAGACATAGGGAGTATGGAGCGATCCTGTTGGTTGACATGGTTGGTTCTTATAGACTAAGGAAGAAAATGATGGACTAAATGTCGGGTCTTTAGTGGGTTGCCGTTAGTCTGTCCATTACCTACCTCCTGCGTCCATTGCCACCACCTGCTTCCACCAATAGGATCCCTCCAAATCCTTTTTGTCGTCTTTGTCTATAGCTTTGTCTAAAAGTTTCAATAATCGGCCCGCAGGCTTAGATTCCAAAAGTTCCAGGTGTAGCACCCGGAGCAGTCGAAGCCACGGCTCCAGCACCCGGAACCTTCGGCCTCAGGGCCCCACTGGAAAAAAAAGACATTGGATCTAGAGTCCAGACTCTTGAAAACATCGACAAGAAGAAATACTCTTGATTCAATCAGATATAAGCTTAAATTTGAGCTCTTAATTTGAGCGGATTTCCTTTTGATTTAAGCTTAAATCTGATTGAATCAAGAGTCTATTTTCTTGTCAATGTTTTCAAGAGTCTGGACTCTACATCCAATGTGTTTTTTTCCAGTGCTCGGAATAACGATATGCCTATAGAGCCCGTAATTGTTTTTCAGTGTATGGAAAACTAGGGGGCTACGCCCCCTGGCCGCTACGCGGCCCAACCCCCTGAAGGCGCCCCGAGCCATCAATGGGCCGCTTCGCGGCCCTATTTTTACCCTCCTATCAGTGTTAGTTTTATTTTTCCCCTAAACAATTACGATATGAGGTATACTTTAATTTTAAACTTTACTTAAAATTACTTTAAAATTAAGAGGACGCGTTATGGAATGACTGCTTGATGAAATATTGCAGTAAAACAATGAACAATGATAGTCAGGTAATGATCAAGTATTCTAGAGTCGGGAATCGAACCTATACCGAGTTCTAGAAGGACGCATTCGACGTCTTGGACGACTCGGCCACCGCTCGGCGTGTGGACTTCGGCGCGAATCTTGTGTAGATAAGTGTAGAGCTGATGCGCAGGCTACACAGCTACTGCGCAACCTCCTCGACCACTGAGCATCCTCCCGCGCATAGCGGTAGCAGTACCGGAGCATTCTGTAAACTCACTCACTTTTATAACGTGATTTTAAAAAAACCTGGGTCCTTTTTCCAAAATCTGATTAGAGCGGGCTCATTTAGAGCCTATTACCTGTCGATTCACGCAAAAATCATGGAAATCGGCCCGGTAGAATGCTCAAACGAACTATGACAAAAAGTATAAATTTACATTGTTTAAATGGGAGAATTCGCAACTTTACCACGTAATATAAAAAAACCTGGGCCATATTTTGAAAATCTGAAAAGAGTTGGCTTATCTAAAGACAATTGCCCGTCGATAGCCGCAAAAATCATGAAAATCGGCCCGGTAGAACGCTGGAACTAAGCGTCACCAGTTTCGCAAAATTAGGAGGTCTTGGAGCTTATAGTATAGATAGATAGTTCAAAAATTACGATGAGCGCATCGGCGCACGGAGAAAAAAACCTCGTGCGTGGGACCCGAAGTTAAGGTCATATAGATCTCTGAAGTTTTCAGATTGAGCATCTGAACACTTTAGGTCTAGCTGTCGAGGTTCGGATCACACATCTGAAACTTCAGTTCTTACATGTGAAGTACTTCAGATGTGAGAACCGAAGTTTTTTGGATGTGAGAACCGAAGTTTTTCGGATGTGAAAACCGAAGTACCTCAGATGTAAGAACTGAAGTTTCAGATGTGTGATCTAAACCTCAGCAGCTGGACCTAAAGTGTTCAGATGCTCAATCCGAAAACTTCAGAGATCCATACGACCTAAACTTCGGGTCCCACGCACGAAGTTTTTTTCTCCGTGCAAAGTCTGAAATACACTCCTAACTTCACAATCTACTTAAAAAACATGCGTTTTTTTAGCTTCCCGCTTCAAAAACGATACAACAGCACAGATGAAAATTTCGTATGAGGAGTCGTCCCACGCAACCCTTGCGCACTAGGATACTACAATGACATAATATTTAATATGACTGACGCTACCGCGCGCAAATCGCGAGAAAGCATCGTGGTCTTATCAACGCCGGGAAAATGTAAATATAAACACGATGGTTGATAAATTTCCGTCCTGCCACGTTTGTTTTGGTGACTTGGCGTCAGCCATGTTGAATATCGTGTAGCATCCTAGTGAGCAACGGTTGGATGGAACGACTCCTCTTACGAAATGTTAACCCGTGCCGTAGTATCGTTTTTGAAGCGGGAGCCTTAAAAAACGAATACTTTTTACGTAGCTTGTGAAGTTAGAGGTGTATTTCAGTATGCCCCGATGCGCTCATCGTAATTTTTGAGCCATTCATCATTAAAACTAACTCTTCTTTAGTCTCGAGCTGAAGTTTGCAACAGGCTTATTGCTTTTTCAACCCTTGTTGACGTTGACACACTTGTGTCGGGAGCATATAAACGCCAATCTTGCCGAGCCCACTTGAATAGCCCACGCACTACCTCTTTTTTCCGTGTTTGATTCCGCGCTCAAGAATGCGACTTACTTTGAGCATGCTCCCGTGGATTTCACTGTTTTACGCTTCAGTTTTCAGAGAAGTCATGTGTTAAAAATCAAGCCGTTTCCGCTCCCTGCAGCGTTGATGTCGCAGCGCTGTTGCTCCTCTGCCGTGGTAAGGAGAAACGCCGTATGAACCTTCGAGAGTTGCCAAATTTCCCCAAATAAAACATGTATTATTGAAGGGAGTTCTGAGAAGTTTTCCTTGAAAGTTTCAGATATTTTTTATGTAATTGTGAACAAAATTATCTGTAAAATTGAAAGAAAAAAATTCAAAATTTTCCCAGTAAACTCGTATTTTATTGAAGGAGATATGGCAATGCCTGAATGCTTATACGGCGTTTTTCCTTAGCACGGCAGTCTTGTGGAACACTGTTGCTCACACTCTAAGTTTATCAAATCTTCACGAAGCACAGTCGCAAGTCTCCATGGATTTCAACCCCCCCCCCCNCCCATTTCGAGTGACTTCTCAGGGATTTTACTACAAGGTATACGACAAATTTGACACAAAATTTAAAAAATGAAGTTCCCTGACATTTCCCTGATTTCCCTGACACATTTGCGTAAAATTCCCTGACAATTGAAAACATGTCTGGTGGTTAAATAGACATAATTTGTAATAGATTTAGGCAAAATGTGTTGTTCAAAACGTCAAACTCACTCTAGAAAGCAAATGAAGGTGTGTTACCAATTTTTCCTTCACACTTTTATCATTTTCCCTGACAATTCGAGGTTTTCTCTGACTCTTTAAAATTCTCTGACATTTCCCGGTATTCCCTGACTGTGGCAACCCTGCTACTACGAGAGGATCTCCTTGAGAATTCCACTTACCAGCGAAGGGAACGTCGCCGATGAACTCCTCGACGGCGTTGGTGTCGGTGGAAACGCTCTTGTCGGAGACGCTGCTGGAGAGGCTGGCGGTGGAGACGTGGGTGTTGTTGTGATTGGCCGAGACCATCATCGGAGGCATGGTCGCCACCGGCCCCGGAAACACCAACACCAGCAGCTCCTCTTCAGTTTCCGTCTCCATGTCCCGCGATTTCCGCTTCAAGGCGCTGTATTCCTGCGGACATACCAAACGAAACCCGTACTTCAGAAAAGGCGCCATCGACTTACACTAACGTGCTAAGGAGAAACGCCGTATGAGCCTTCAGGCGTTGCCAAGTTTCCTTCAATAAAAACCGAGTTTACTGAGAAAATTGTGAATATTTTTTTTCAAATTTTTGAACAAAGTTTTTACGCAATTTAATGTAAAAAATCTGAAAATTTCAAAGAAAAATGTGCATGATTGTCGTCAATATCACATGTTTTATCGAGGGAAATTTGGCAACTCTCGGATGTTCATACGGCGTTTTTCCTTAGCACGGCAGTACAGAGGTCAGATCAAAAACATAAAGACGGAGCGCTAGAAGAAGAAAATGAAGCCACCTCTCCTTTTGGTTAGAGCAGCAGAAAAACTAACTTTATCCGAGATTCCTGTAAGATTTCTCCTTGTTACCAAGCCAAAATAGGTTTCTTATAAAGATTCACGATCCCAACTTTATTTATTCGTTCGTTTTAGGCAAATAAAACGAGATTAGACGAAGACATGTGGAAAAATCAAGAGGACAAATTCAAATCAAGTTTCGTTTCCCGCGCATGGATTCGGAGCAACTTAATTTGAGATTCCAGTAAGATTCCTGCTTGTTACCAAGCAAAAATAGGTTTGTTATAAAAATTCAAAATCCCAACTTTATTTATCGGTTCGTTTTAGGCATTTCAAATGAGATTCGAAGAAGAAATATGGAAAAATGAAGAGTACAAGTTCGATTCAAATCTATTCCTGCGCATGGATTCACATCGCCGGAATGGCTTCACTTCTTCCCCGTGCTTTTAGATACGAGCACTCCGTTTTTATGCCTTTGGATCAGATATAAGGCGGAAGGGACAAAAAGTTAGGATGAGAGGGGAATATAACCCTCCTCCCTCTTCCCGACACACAGTGGATTGAGCCAATAAGAGAGGTCGGACGAAATTTGGAATATTTAAAAGCTAATAACTCCGTTTACACACAACTTTGAGGTTCTAGAACTGGTTTTATCGGTTCCCTCGTGAAATTTTCCTCTGAATGCAACACCTAATATCAGGGCCAGATTTACCGTTTTGCCGCCCCCTTCTCATTCATTTTGAAACATCAATAAAAACCATTGAATGAACGTGCCAGCGGGAGAGGGGTGCATAAGACGCGTTTATTTGTGTTGAACACATTTTTTGGGAAAGCCCTGTCAACACTGCTAGCAAAAGTTCACGGAACCTTGCGCGAAAGTTAAGTCTCGTAAACCTATCTCTGTGTGGACAAGGCCTTCCATTCATAAGAAATGAACGAAAAAATTATGAAAGAACAAACATAAATGTGGATTAATGATTTTAACTACCGCTGCCGTGCCGCGCAGACCGCACCATGTTTGGCGCAATGCGTGAAGTATTCCGACAGTCTTGTAGGCGCTATGCGTTTCACGCTGATCGCACTGTGTTTGCCGCAATGCGTGAAGTATTTGTGCAGTCATGTAGGGGCTAATATGTGTTACATGCCGATCGCCGCGCCGAGGCACAGTGTGTCAAAACCCCAATCTAGCTGCTCAAAACCTCTTCACGTCTCTAAATTTGATCGGATAACCACCAAATTTCGCACAGGCATTAGTGTAAGCTTGAAGAAGGTTCACCTAAAATTTCAAAACTTAGTCATCAAAATTTTCAAAATGGCGGCCATCTAAAAATCCTGTTCAACTCATGTAAAAATCGTAAAATTTCAACTAAATTTTAGGCGCCTTATGTGACCTGATGAACCCCAAAAATTAGTCAAATTGTGTTCTCCGATCCAAAATAAGTCCTGGAGGATGTCTTGGGCTTGTCCATTCCACTTCAAAATGGCGAATTTCTCATTTGGCCATCCAAGGAAATATGAATTCCATATTATTCCATATTGATTTCCATATAAAATGATACGTTTCGGCAACTCTAAGTGACAAGTCAAAGATAATATTTTCAAAATGTTTGCCTGTAAAGGAAAATTTCGGCGAACCCCCCCCCCCTCCTTTTCATTTTCCTACGTTTCATAAATCATGTCCGAAACCTTTCCTCATTAGAAATAAATAAGAAAGTCTGTTTCAAATTATACAAGAAACTTGTTAAAAATATGATGCAACTTTGTATTTGAGGACCCCCCTCCATGACAGTATAGATAATGGGAAAATCGTAATGAAAGAAAATAAAATTTTAAAAAATTGGTATTGTTCGGGTTTGGAACCCCGGTCATGCTGGTAATAATGAAAGAAGCAATCAACTGAGCCACCATACGATCTTATCTACGCCGGTGAAAAGCCTCATGACAAGGCTCACTCAAATCAGGGGACCGAGCGCGCGTGGTGAGATGCTGCCTCCGTCTCAATTCACCTGTGACAGCCTGTCGGGGGAGATCGCATAACGCCGCCCGCACGCTTTTACACTAGGAATCGCCGAACAAAATGTGCTCTTACTCTCAAGGTCGCGGAAGGTCGCAGTAAAACTAAAGATATTTCAAATCTACATAGTTTTCTGAACACTCTCATATAAGTTTCATGGTGTTCCGTGTAGTTCCGCGCTTTTGCGGCTCTATTAAAGCCAGGAAAAGTAAACGGTCTTGGGCACTGTTTTCAATGAGCAATTATAATACTTAAATAATGATTTTGGAGAAATCAACGGTCATATTTCCTTTCTCTGGCCTTTGGCATCTCGTTTCATCCAGAGATGACCCTTTTTCGCCACGAAGTACTCTAAAAAAAAGCAATTCAGTGGCACCACTCCTGATGGCGAGATTGAGGCTGGACGTTTACCGGCTGCAATCCCTATCATTTTAGCGACCAAAAAATTTATTTTTGTGATAACCATGATAGATACGTAACCAGTGGGTGCCTGTGGACCCACTCTGACCATAAATAACACCATTTGTTGACTTGATATAAGGGGGGTTTTGAGCAGCTAGATTGGGGTTTTGACACACTGTGCGAGGGCTTCTCCTTTTCATCTCAAGTCCTCGTCATCGTTTCTCTCTAAGTCGCGCCGTTCCAGGCCAAATTTCGTGTCTGGTTTCTCTCTTAACTCGACTAATTAAAGGTGCTGTCTCTTGTATCATTGAAAGACGACAAAAGTAGAAATTACTATACTCTCAGAAAATTAGAGATTTTGTCGCCTTTTCTCGTTTGTAATTTTTTTTTCTAGATTCGAATTTTCTATACCTACATTTAAAACAATTTCAAAATTTGCCACCCCCTATAAATTTGCCGCCGTGGGCCGCGGCCCATGTGGCCACCCCCTTAATCCGGCCCTGCCTAATATTTGAAATGTGACGAAATAAACATAAAAATTTTCAGTGTAGTGAAAATTTTGAGTCCGACCTCTCTGATTGACTCGATCCACTGCGCGACAGTCCATATGAGAAGGGAGGGGGATTTGTTGGTATTAAAAAATCATCACGTCAACAAGAAGTTACTGCGGTTCTCTGGAAGTTAGAAAAATGAACTTGGTACTATTTTCATCCTAACTTCATTCATAACTTCACCAGTTTCAAATGGACTGCATTTGTAATTTAGAACTACTATTTCTGGCTCATCCGTGAAAAAATATAAGTCTACAGGAAAACTAATGGCACATGCGCTGTTTTTAAACTGAGCCAGTAACTGCAGTTCCTCTTTGCAAAATGTGCTCCAAGTGCATCGCACAATTTTCCTTCTTCCCAAAGGCTAGCGGGGACTCCGCATAAATTCAGTTTACACGAGTATTTACTCTTGATAATTAGCTTGATAACGAGGAGCAAGTAGACTACCTTAATTTAAAAATTGACTGAAATCCAGAGTTTTTAAAATGATAAGTCTCGTTGACCGCTCCAAAATTTTAGGCACTTTTTCAAGGAGGAAAGAGACTCGGAGAATTGCGAGTTCCAAAGAGGGCTGACCCCTCTAAACGATTCTGTGCTTTATCAATGAAGAAAGAGACTCACAGAATATTGTGAGTTTCATAGAGGGGTGACCTCTCCAGAATTTCGGAACTTTTTCGAGGAAGAAACAGGTTCATAGAAACATGAGTTCCAAAGAGCACTGATCTTTTCAGGATTTTAGGCACTTTCCAAAAGAGGAAAGGCTTTTGGAGAGTCGCGTATTCCAACGCGGGAAGGATAAAGTTGAAAACAGTAAAATACAAAAGAGAAACGGAAAGAGCGACGAAGCTTGTCACACTACAATACTAAGTAACTAATATTTCCCCTTATTTTAACACCCTTGCAACTGTTCAGATCCATTATCCGCGCACTTCAGAAACAGAGAAGATTCGTCCTTCGAAGAACGTGATCGAGTAAAATCGCATTCTAAATGATCAGAGAGATGAGCGAAAAGAACGATAAAGCTAGTCAAATCAAAAAACTGGGTAACTAAGTTTTCCGTTTATTTTAACACCCTTGCAACTGTTCAGAACCACTATCCGCACACTAGATAGTGACAGGGTAAGTAACAGGGAAGATTGGTCCTTCGACCCCTTGTTCGACGAACCAAGATCCAAGTCCCAAGTTCGACGAACTTTATCGAGTAAAATCGCATTCTAAATGATCAGAGAGATGAGGGAAAAGAACGATGAATCTTTTCACGCTAAAATACTAAGTAACTAATATTTCCCCTTATTTTAACACGCTTGCAACTGTTCAGATCGATTATCCGCACACTGTAGTAACAGGGAAGATTCATCCTTCGACGAACACGATCGAGTAGAGTCGCTTTCCAAACGTTCCAACAACCGCGTCGATTCACCGCCATTCAACTTTGAATTCTGTTCAACCCTGGTTGGTTCACTAGCAAGACACCAGCCCGACTTCAAACTTTTCGATCCCCCGAGTTTGACTTCCACTCGAGTCGCCGTGTCCGATTCCTTCTCCTTCCTGACGATCTGGAAGACGGGCTCGAACTCCAGGTCCATGGACTCCATATCCGTGTCCGTGTCGATCGGGTTGCGGTAGATCCCGCCGTCCCTGTCGAAGCGGTCGTGGACCGGCGACCGGTA